GTATTATGTAATATACAATACAATGTAAGTATATGTTAATACCATATAATAATACTATACAATATAATATAATATACAATAAGATATAATAGTATCTAATAATAGTATATAATACTATATGCATATAATAATGCCCTGCAATATAAGACGTACTATATATTTCTTAGAGATTTTTTAGTCTTAAGCGATTTTAGCCTTGAATATTTTTCATCGCGAGATATTTTCCATTTCGATCGTCTGATTTTGCACAGTCACGTGTTCATGCAGCGTACGTTGATTGGCCGGTGAACAGGTATAGCCGTTTGGTTAGGGTTCGGGGGAGTGGAGGGGGCGGTGCCTCTTTTCAACACGTAAAAGCGTCACGTGAGATGACGTCACGAAGGCGAGACGCATGAAGTGATGACGTCATGGCGTGGAGCAGACGATGCCGACGTGCTTACGTCATGTTGCCTAGTTTTGTGTATTCTTCCTTGATGACGGCCTCGACTGTTTTATCTGCCGTGTCGCGTCCCTTGATGAAGCATCCAAACAACGTCCTGCGAACCAATAACGACATGAGCAAGTTAAAACAAGTTAAAATAAAAGTAGTTAAAATAAAACAAAATAAGTTAAAGGTTATGAATCTTACCATGCATACATCCAGCATGACAATTACTATATTTCGCAGCATACCATGCTGAAACATGCACGCATATTGTATTATATTAACCCCATGATCACGCACATAAGGTTCGTGCACGGCGGAGGCACACTGACTAGTGTTTCAAGAAATGACTTTCCAAAACTACGTCATCCGTGTGACGTCACACGAGACGCGTCTTTCACATAATTCCTTTTGTGAACATATATATATATTTATTTATTTGTATACATATTGCAAATACATATTGCGAAATCGCGATAAAATACGTTTAGAGTATAGAAAATATTTTTTTACTAATGCATATACTTGAAAGATACCATAGCTACACATCACTAGCTTTAACAGACGTATTTAGAGGGGGGGTTCGCATAGTATAGTATAGCATAGCATAGTATAGGCTAATAGTATAGTAATAGTAATAGTAATAGTAATAGTAATAGTAATAGTAATAGTAATAGTAATAGTAATAGTAATAGTATAGTATAATAGATGAGCGTGTGTAATTCGATGCGTTTCTTCGCAACAGATGGCGCGAGCTGTTACCTCCATCCGAGAAAGTAGAGTTGCAGCCAGAGCCAGATGATGACGAGGATGATGACGGCGCTGGGTGCTGAGTAGAAGAACCACGTGGCAAAGTTGACGCCTGCTGCGTCGCCGTAAAACCTGCCGACGCACAAACCACGCTAGCTTACAACACAGGTGGCGCCACCTACAGCTCCGCCATGTTGTCGCACACGACTGTCATGGGTGGCGCTGCGGTTGTTATTGCCGTTGTCATTGTTATTGTTGTTGCTGTTGTCGTCGTCGTTGTCATTGTAGTTATTGTCGTGGTTTCATCATTGTCATCATCATCATCGCCACCGTCGTCATCATCACCATCATCATCATCATCGTTGTCATCATCGTAGTCATTTTCAGTGTCGTCACCATCATCATCATCATCATCGTCGTCATCATCATCATCAGTGTCGGTGGTACTTACTGTTCTATGAGACCGCTCATGACGAGGTTGGGCGGGGTTCCCGTGAGGGTGGCTGTGCCTCCTGCGCTAGCTCCGTAAGCTATAGCGATGAGCATGCCTTTAGCAAGATTGTGGTCCTCGGGCGTGCGCTGGTCGTCGGGAACCCCCGTAGATACCTCCGATATGTAGCTGTGAAAAAGGAAACCAACAAACACACTCACGTATTGATGGGTAGGTATCGATCACGACCTGTTATTGATGATGACGCGTGCGCGCGCGCGCGCGTGTGTGTGTGTGTGTGTGTGTGTGTGTGTGTGTGGGGGGGGGGGGGGTAGGGGTTCGTACCTTAAGCTTTGTTCTAGTTTTGCGTTGAGTTCTACTCCAGAGTCATATATGTCCGTCTGACTGGCCTGCGACCGGAGAGGGATGCGTCTCCTCATACTCCCCGCTTCCTTCTTCTTCTTCCTTCTCCTCGCCGTCGCGGGGGAAGGCTCCTCCTCACTGAAACCACAATGTCGTGTAGTAGCGGTGGCAGCCGCTAGATGGCGGTAGGTGAGCACTTTACGTGTATCACTAAGGAATGATGTTCGTGTCCGTATTCAACTTTAGCTCTATGTCTACCTAGAGAGAGAGGGGGAAGCGGGAAAGAGCGAGAGAGAGAGAGAGAGAGAGAGAGAGAGAGAGAGAGTGTATGTGAGCGAAAAAGAGACAGACAGAGACAGAGAGGGAAAGAGTGAAAAAGAGAGAGTGCGCGCGCGAAAGAGAGAGAGAGACAAACAGAGAGACATGGAGAGAGGAAGTGAGACGGACACAGACGGAGAAATAAAGAGAGGGCGAGGGGGAATAGAAAGCATAGAGGCTGAGAGAGAGGAAGAGGAGGAGAGAGAGAAACGGACAAATACGATCTCTCTCTCTCTCTCTCTCTCTCTCTCTCTCTCTCTCTCTCTCTCTCTCTCTCTCTCTCTCTTTCTCTTTCTCTATCTTCTCGGTACGTCTATTGTTGCCATTGTATTCGCGTGTATATTTAAAAAAAAGTGCGTTTGACGCTTAAATTCACCGTTCGACATCTCCCACCAACACCACCGGTACACCTCTCCCACCGGCACCATCGGTCAACATCTCCCAGCGGCACACCACCAGCAGCAGCAGCAGTAGTGTAATGGCTAGGCGTCACGTGACTCATAGCGCCGTGACGTTGAAGGCGTCTGCCGCAGCCTCCGTTGTCGTGGCAACGATGCGCGGCACGACCTCTGCCGCCCAGTCCGGATACTCTCCGAAGCCGAAAACCCAGACACCGTACGTATTGACGAGCAGCACGACCAGCAAGATGCCACACAGATTCATCAACGCTCCCGTCTTCACCTGCAGCAGCGAGAGAGCGTCAACAAGAGAACGTCAGCGCGGGCCGGACGCGTGATTTTTTTTCCTAGGTCAATCAAGAACATAGGGCTTTAACGAGCGCTGCCATTGGTTGATACAAATCACGTGCCTCAAACTCCTGTTTTATGGTGCATTCACTGCATTGTGACCCTAACCCTAACCCTAACCCTAACCCTAACCCTAACCCTAATCCTAACTCTAACCCAAACCCTATTTAAAAAAACATATAAGAAATTTAATTTTTAATAGTTGTAAAAATTAATTGTTGTTATTAAAATGTTGTAAATATATCATGTAAATATTTGCGTTAATTGGAAAAAAAATGATAAACAGATAAACAACAAAATAATTAGAAAACGGATCGGATCTTACGACCTTTCACACTTAACGCACGCGATGTACGCGCTATGCTATCGAGACATACCGAACTAATAATTTTGGATGCGCTATGTATATTACGATATTGTGACGTCATTGAGCGACAAGACAAGCTCAACCAATAGCAACGCTCATTACAGCCCTATGTTCTTGATTCACCTAGGAAAAAAAGTCACGCGGGCCGGACGTCCGGTTACGACATGGCGGGGATTGATGACGTCATCGCGTCTTCCGGATTTTCTTACAGTTTATAACGCGTAAAGGTCAAAGCGTTAAAGTTTAGAAGGCAGTGTTAGCTAGGTACTACAAGTAATAGCGAAATCTATATCTAGTATAATATATCTAGTATATATATATATATATATATATAGTAGAGCTCAATTCAGCAGTTTTAGTGGCAAGAAGAAAGAGTCGCAAAAAGTTAACAAGTTGCTGAACTTTTTGCTAAAAACGAGGCCACTCACAAATAACCGTGAACAAAAACCTTAAAGACGTCGGGGTAAGAAGTGTGTATGTGTGTGCGCGTGCGTGCATGCGTGCACGCACGCACGCACGCACGCGTGCGTGCGTGCGTGCGCGTGTGCGTGTTTTTTTCACTATGCGTGAGCGCCCGTGAGCACACATGCGCGCCTGACTTCGCGTGACGTCACGCGTGACGTACCATGTCAACGACCTGCAGGTCACCGGTAGCAAAGACGATGGCGTTCGGTGGCGTTGCTACGGGCAACATGAAGGAGAAAGAGGATGCTATCGTTGATGGGAACATCAGGTACAGAGGACTGACGTTCATGACTGCCGCCTGCAAGCACCAACACATACACGAATACAATCACGAATATAAGCACGAATACAAGCACGAATGTAGGCACGAATGTAGGCACGAACACAAGCACGAATAATAGTACGTGCTAGCACGTTTGTATACGTCGCCGCTAATAGGTATAAATAATAAAAGCACATGTTATCATAATAATTATGGATATTATTACATATGGGTTATTATTGTAGTGGAAGCTAATAAATATGTTATAAATTACATAAATAAATGTATAATAGGTATTATACGGTATTACCCGTAAATCAATAGTGCTGTCATATCCCCTGTGCTATATTTATATATGTACTGACACTCACACACGCATGCACACGCGCACACACGCGCGCACATACACACGCACATACACGCACACACACGCATGCACACGCGCACACACACACGCACATACACACGCACACACACGCACACACGCATGCAAGCACATACGGCTTCGCACAATTTGATCAACCGTCGTAGCTCGCTGAATAGTGCATGCTGGCGCCATCTGTTAGCCAGAAACTTTGCTGCACGCTCTCTCTCTCTCTCTCTCTGTATGGCGGTTCGTACCTTAGAAGCTTTGTTCTTAGTTTGCGTTGACGTTCTCACTCCAGAGTCATATATTCCGTCTGACTGCCTCGCGACCGGAGAGGGATGCGCTCCTCCATACTGCGCCGCTTCCTTCTTCTTCTTCTGCTTCTCCTCGCCGTCCGAGGGGAAGGCTCCTTCCCACTGAAACCACCAAATGTGCGTGTAGTAGCGGTCGGGCAGCCGCCTAGATGGGGGTAGGTGACAGCTTTAACGTGTGATCACTAAGGTAATGATGTTGTGTCGTATTCAACTTAGCTCTCATGTCTACCTAGAGAGAGAGGGGAGGAAGCGGGAAGAGCGAGGAAGAGAGAGAGAGGACGAGAGAGAGAAGAGATGAGGAGAGAAGAGAGTGTATGTGACCGCGAAAAAGAGACAGACAGACGGACAGAGAGGGAAAGAGTGAAAAAAGAGAGAGTGCGCGCGCGAAAAGAGAAGAGAGACAAACAGAGAGACCATGGAGAGAGTGAAGTGCAGAGCGGGACAACAGACGGAGAAATAAAGAGAAGGGCGAGGGGAATAGAAAGGCATAGAGGCTGAAGAGAGGAAGAGGAGGAGAGAGAAGAAACGGACCAAGATACCGTAAGGCAGAGAGAGAGAGAGAGAGAGAGAGAGAGAGAGAGAGATGAGAGAAGAGAGAGGAAGATGAGAGAGAGAAGAGAGAGAGAGAGAAGAGAGAGAGAGAGAGAGAGAGAGGGAGAGAGAGAGAGAGAGAGTGAGACGAGAGAGAGAGGCACGAGGAGAGAGAGAGAGCAGAAGCTACGATAGAGGAGCAGAAGACTCGTTAGTGATTGGTTTGCTATGTACTCAGGTATACGGAGCTAATGGTCCTCGTCATCGACAATAGGAGGAGTATGTTATGTCCGCATCCTCCCCCCGGTGCAAACTCCTCCATGCCTCCCTGCAGCCACCAGTCCCGTCCGCCACCTCCTCCTGGAACGTCTTCGCCTCCTTCCCTACCTGCGTGATGCGTGATTTGCTGTCCGCGTCGGTGGCGGCTGCTGCCTGCTTGCTCTTTTCGCCTGCCTTAAGCTGCGCGCCGCGCCAACTCAGGAAAAGTTCCGTCTGCTGGCATTCGTCAGATGTGCGTCGACGCAGCTCCCCTCGTGGCTGCTAGCGTCGTCGTAGGGGGTTGTGCGCACCGCCGTGAGGGTCTCGCCATCTTCCAGGATGTGGTCTGGGAGTCTAGGCGTCGTCTGGTTGTCGCGCGAACTCCGGGTTGCTCCATCTCCATGCGTTAACGGTTGAAAAAACCTGAAAGATTTTAACGCGATTTCCAGCCGTTTGACACCTTGAGTTCGTCTGGCTTATAGTTACTAGCGTAGCGGCAAAGTGAGGTTTTGCGGTCGAAACCTAACTAATAACGCTAGCACTGTGTGCTATGGTATGTGATATGTGTAGTGTGTGTGTGTGCTGGCCGGTGGCGGTGCGTGGCGTGGCGTGTGTATGGCGTCGTGTTGCGTGCGTGGCGTGTGCGTGTGCACGCGTTTTTTTTTCCCACGAGACTTCCGGACCCCAGCGCATCAGCGCACTCCGCATTCACTCGACTTCTCGAAGCAACATATGTAAATTTATTACAACCTATAAGCCTTGAACCTAACACTAACTATAATGCCAACCAAGGTTTGTCTTATATACGCACAATATATTACAAATCACCTATCTGTGGTGGGTCCGGCGAACTCATCGGTCGGGAAAAAAATTCTCTACCCGCCGCTCCTCCCGCCCATGATCGCTGCCTAGCATCATACGCTGCCTGCCTGCTACTGCTGATGCTACTGGCTGAGCTACTGCTGCTAGTACTGGCTACTGCTGCTGCCCTGCTTACTGCTACTACTACTACCTAGCTACTACTACCGCTGCTACTACTGCTGCTGGCTGCTACTGCTGCCTGTGCTACTGCTGGACTGCTACTGCTGCGGCTGGCTACGCTACTGCCTACTGCTACTACTGCTGCTACTGCTGCTATTGCTGCTACTGCTACTGCCGCTGCTGCTGCCTCTGACGCTTCTGGCTGCTGCTGCTGCTTGGCTGCTGCAGCTGCTACTGCTGCTGCTGAGCTACTGCTACTGCCTGGCTGCCTACTGCTGCTGTACTGCTACTGCTAGCGCACCTAGCACTGCTACTAGCTCTCCTGCTACTGCTGCTTAGCTGCTGCTACTGCTACTGCTGCATGCCTGCTGCTACTGCTTACTGCTACTGCCTACTGCCTGCCTG